AATGTACATTTTATTTTTCTAGTTTATAAAAGATTTTATAAAAATCTATATTAGGGCTAGGATTTTTTAAAGGTTCGTTGCAATTTATTTTTTTTAAAATAGTTTTTCAAGTGAGTTAGAAAAACATTAAATATGTCCAAAAAAACTGTGCATAATACGAACTGTTGTGTCTATGGTTGCCATTCAANTAATTATTGAGATAATGGAATGAATATATAACGTTTTGACAAATTTGAACAAACATCTGATCCAATGAAAGGAAATATGGCAACACTGTACGCTGTATTTAACGCTTCGACTGACACGCTATATTTGAATAGCTCGATTATAGACTATAAAATTATTCCAGTCGAAAACATATGTAGTAATAATTAATATTAAATACATTTTTCGTGATCTATTGCAATATAATAGCAATTTGAAACAAAAATTGAAAGGATCTCTTTGCAAAACGAACAGTATAGATGTTCTGTCATAATCTTAAATTTGACAAGGACGTCTCACTATCATACAGCTTCTTGATAGTTATCATATGGATTCTCGGTTTGCACATTTTACTTTTTTCTCATCAACCCACATTCTGTTTCATACGTATTTTATATTACTTTTCAGTCATTACTTTTCCTTTGTACCTTGGATGTTCATTCATACTTACGGAATAAGCGCAAAATTGACAGTAATAACAGTTGACCCAACTTTTACTACCACGCCATAACAATGGTGCCAGATTTCATCCATAATTTTACAAGCTCTTAATGAATAAATAGACACTTTTATTCAAATAAAAAGTTAATTGCCGTGCATTAAACACGAAAAATATATGCAAGCTAATATGTGTTGTATAAATTTCATTCGTATATATTATATTTAGTTCACTCAAATTAATTTATGTAAGGTTGGTACTACAACGAAACTACCGTGTATAAGCATAGGCTTCCCTCCCGCACCGCCTGCCCCGTAAGAGATGTATCGAACCTCCTTAAGCGCGACACTCTGTGTATACAGACAGGGTGTCCCAATAAGGTCGGCGAAGTACGATATTAGTGAAAGTATAGGCCCTAGAACTTCAGGAAAAAAAAATTGACAAATAAATCCAGCAAGAGAAATAGCTAGAAATAGTTTTCAAGTTAATAGCTCGGCCGCTAGAGGGTGCAATCTACATACCAAAACATAGAGCTGAATTTTTCTCAGAAATGTTTCCTATTCAGATATATTAAATAATACAAAATATGGATAGCCGGATTCATTGCGTATAACTTTTGTTATTGACATTTTGTTCTATCGCTCCACAGAAAAGCTGAGGGAAGACCCTAATGTCTGATAAGAAAATTATTTTTTTTTAAGGACTGGCTCATCAAAAGCCCATAGCGTTGTTATGAACCTGTTTTATTTTCATTTATTATGTTAGGAATTTCGGATATATTTCTTTTATTTCGGCCTATTTTACCCCGGCGGTTATTATTATTGATTATTTATATATACATATATCCGCGATAATTTTTAAGATGCAAGCGCACCAAGCGGCGAAAGCAGTAAGCTCCGAGACAAGGTAATTTTGACAGAGCCATTCGTGTTTACACATTCATTTGAACAACATTTGTCTTATTTGCCATTATTATTAATAATTTTGTTATCAAACTGCGGTTATTTGACTTTTGTATTATTTTATAGGTTTCAAATATTTCATAAATAAATTTTAAGGCAAGTATTTATGTCTACTTTATTTATCTCTAGCATTACAATTTAATGTACATTTTATTAGGTTATAACTATGAACTTATCCGTTGTGGAATACATTTCCTATTTACATATATGCCAACGAAAACTCTCGTTGTATATCAGAAGGAGAGGCAATTTTTAACGCTGATCATGTGGTACTATATGGGAAAATTGGGGAAAGTTAATTTAAATTTAGAAATTTATATTATGTCTGCAAACTAGTGCCTTACTTACTAACAACCCTCATGAAATTCAAGGAGTATTATCTATCGGCAATAATATTTTGAAAATTTCTTCAATGGTTTGCTGAAAACTTAATTCTGGAATTTTCTTGCACCATGAAGAGCAACCTTGACCTGAACAATAATAGTTTGACAGTTTCTTCTTTCTATCCATAATTGCTGAAATTTTCCTCACACTATTTTCTTAAAATAACAGTGTTCAAAAAACGAACACTAAATTCAGTTTTAAATAAAGTACAAAACGAAATGTCACACACAGAAGAAATGTTTGTTTGTTTCGCTAGTACCACTTATCACCGCCAGAGGGCGAGCTCTTGGCTGCATTATATATACAGGGTGATTCATTAACAATGGGAAAGTCGAAATCTGAAGATACTACACGTGAAATGGCGACCATTGGCGCAAACATACCTTATCCGAAAGTTGATAGTTTCGGAAATATAGGATGTTGAAAGTTAAAATTTTAAATCGTTTTTTTTGCGATTATTCTGAAAATATGTAGGTTAGGAACTTGAAAATTTGTGAAACTATTTTTTTTAGGCGGCGAATAAGATACGTGTTGTAATTTCAGCATTGCTCATAGAGGGCGTTACTTACGACCAATTTAACCGAATATTTAGTTAGTAACTTTTTACCCTGTATATTTAACATGAAACTTGATTCAAAACCTGAAAGAGCTATCATTTTTTCATTAATTATGTACTCTTGTTTCATTTCGGTATCTCGATCCGTTTTCGAGAAAAATCGATTTAACGAACACTATGTTTTGATAATACNAGAAAGAAACATGATTAGAAGATGTAATGCGTGCATTCAAGCCAACGGACGTAATTTTGAACAGTTTCTGTAAATTTTACTCGCCAAATTGATAAAAAAAAGTTAAAATCCTATCTGTTGCTAAATTTCGTTAAAATTGTTAATTATTACTACCTATTTCTTGAATTACAAAAGATTTTCGAAACGTTTGATTTGGGTTTTCGGAATCCCACAAATGATTGTTCTTCCAATTGAAAACTCCCCGTCTAGTAAATAGAATCGGTAAATAGAATCTTATTAAGGAAATCTGAGTTTTCCATTTGCATATTTTGAACAAACTGAACAAATTGTAGGCGAGCTGGTAAATCTTGAGGCAATAACTGCTGAACTGGAGTATAATGATATGGATGGAGCATTTATTTTTTCAAAATTCTACAAATGGACGATTGGCTTACCCCCGTTGCCGCACTTAACCGACGCGTACTCATACTGGAATTTTCCAAAACACGAATTAAAATTTCCTCTTCTTTATCGACTGTGATCGATTTTGGAGTACTTTTTAGTCGAAAAGATCCAGATTTGCCTAAGCGGTTGTAAATATTTCTAAATAGTTTATAATTAGGTTGCAATCTATTTGGGTACATGTGTTCATATCTTCGGGCCGCCGCGCCGCATGTCCATTAAAATTAGCCTGGGCAAAAACACAAATCATATCACGCATATCACTGTTTGAAAAATTATTGTTTTTTGAGGACTAGCTAACAATTTTGCACGAATAATAAATCACACGCATGCAAAATACGCTAATATTTATTGACATGAAAATTTGACACAAGCCTACTTAGAAAAGAAATAGCAATATCGACGCTTGAAAGAAAATCACCACAAAATACATTGAAACTTTTAAATGCAAATAACTCAGAAACCGATAAAGTTAGGTGACCTAAACAAAAGTACACTTTTTATGTAGAATTGAACGTTCTTTTAGATTTTTAACTTTTCTTAAGCAAAGCTCAACAGATTAAAAAAATATGTTTTGATTTACCTAAATAATACAGCGAAACTAGTGCCCTCTAGGAGCAACGTCAAAATAAGCTTCAAATTCATAATTCTCACACCAAAAAACCCAATAGTACCAATTTTCAGAGTCATGCTATTAAAACTTTCCCAATTATTGAGAAATTTCAAAATAAAATTTAAACCTTAAACACCCTGTATTTCTTAAACCAGCGGCATTTGTATAAGACATGAGGAGCTCAAACATAATATTTTGGTGTCTAGTATCTCCAGTTTAGTGTTGACCCATTCTTTCTGACTCACCCTGTATATATTAATACATTTTTTTGGGAGAGGGTGGGTTTTAAATTTAATTTATAATTGTTTATTTTTTCTCTTTTCCTTTTTTTAGTTTTATGTTTAATTGGCATCAAGCTTATTTTTGTATCTACGTAAATTTAAATTTTGTTCATTAAAAAACACGTCTTGAATCGACACGATATCGCATGCGCGAGCTGCTAGAAGAAGGAAAGGAAGCGACAAGGAGTAAAAAACAGAAGACACGTATCCTAGGTGTAAAAGAAAAATTCGCTAACAAACGCATACATATCCAGTACCTGTGAAATCATCAAAAGAGCAACTACACAGAATTGGTAAGTGCCGATTCAATTCGATTTTCATTTTGTTAATACAGTCCATTTACTTTTCTTTTTTCTTCTTATACTGAACCAGCGTGTAACGCTAAATAATATAAAATTTACAACATAACCTTTTATTCTTTGTATAGTTTTCGGGATTAGGACTTTTTTAATCCCAGGATTTTTGGTATATAATTTTTAATGAGATCCCGGGATTCACACCCCTGATTACTACTGACATTTTTGTCTCAAAAATTCACAAACAAAAAAGTTTTTCACTTAAAAAAATATTTGGTACTAAAACAAATTAAGCAAAACTTTTAAAATTAATTATTATATTAAATACTTTAATATACCAATAAGATAAGATCCATTTTTTTTTGAAAATTTGAGTGCATTTATAAATCGTATTGATAGGCGCTCTACTGCAGAAGTAAAATTACATGTTAGTATATGTATAGGTAGAAGGAGGAAGGAGGATAGGGGAAGGAGGAAGGGAATTTATTACAAACGTTTCAAAGATAGTTTTCATAGAATTTCAACATTGTTTTTACAATTCTAATATATTTTTTATACATGTAACTTAATAAAAATATTTATACATATTAATGTATACAAAATGACAACTGCACTGTAAAAAATTATTTGCTTACCTGAATTCCAAATCTTCTTGAAAATCAGCACATAAGTTGTCACAATTTAATCTATAAAGTATTTCAAATGGTTGTCTTCTAGGTAATATTACAGTACTAGCTGCCTTATGGTTTTCTGGTATTAAAGTATTCATTCTTTCAGTCATTTCTCTTTGACTGGCTTCCATATTTAAAGCAAGAGCAGTAGAGAGCCTAGCCCTCAAATTAGAACCTAACCCAGTTTCTACATGCAAATGAAGTTCCTTTTTGTAGACATTAAGCACCAAAGGCTCTGGATGGAAAGGTAAATTAAACTCATCCACTAAACTACTCAAACGACGTATTTCTTCATTTAGAGCCTTTGACACCCTGAAATGATATACAAATTTACATAAAAGGATATGTACGTTATTAGAAATATATACAAATTATTTTACTGTTTAAAATTTGTTATATGAATGATTTGATAACATTTTTTCATTCTCATACCTTTTATTTGCTTTGTTTTGATTTCGCACATGGTCAGCTTCTTACAGTGCCACAAAAGACAAGATGAAATTTTGATTGATCCAAGCTCTGATATTGAGTCAGAATGGGCCTGTGTCGGCCAAAAATGATTAAAGTAAAATGATTAGTATTAAAATTAAATATTTTTTTGTCAGCTGCAAAGTTTTAATCAGACGAAACAGTATGTTGCCATTATATTAGCTGTGAATTTTAGTTAAATGAGGCACGGTATATTGCTGTTATGTTAACGTTAGCTTTTCTAGATGATTCCGGTTTAGCCGGAAGAGATACGCGTGTATCTAGTTGATCCCTGATTAGCCGGAAGAGATACGTTAGTATCTGTTTTGAGTATTTAGTTGATCCCGGCGAGGCCTGAAGAGATATATGTGAATCTAGTTGATCCCGGGTTGGCCGGAAGAGATACGTAAGCGACTATTTTGAGCATTTAGTTGAGCCAGGTATATCTGGAAGAGGTACGTGCGCTAACTGGACAAATCATCATAAATCACAAAATCTTTTATTTTTTAAAAGCCGTCTTATAAAAAAAGCATGAATAAAATATTGTCAGGATGGACGAGTGGTGACTAATTTTCCACTCTTATTTCAGATATTATTCAGTAAGGGAAGTACCCGAGGACGTGCACTATTTCAGGATGGCCGTGTCGGCATCACCCTTGTAACCGTTTATGATTTCATAGCCACTCGAAGAACTGTCGCCGTCGATGGAATGTTAAGGGCTTGTTTTTATTTATGTTACAGAAATATTAGAGTACCAAATTGTTATCTCTTCAGGGTTAAGTTTTAGCCTGTACGTGAAAGACCATCATTATCTAATAGTCGAGGCAATGAAGCACTCAACCTCGGAGTTTTTTGCACTAAGAAGGATCGGAATGCGGTTTTTTGCATTCGCTTCCAAAAATTTTTTGTAAAAAATGTATCTACTTTGTATCTTATACAAACCGGAAATTGCATTGCTGCAGCCAAAAATGCATTCAAAAAATGTATTTTTAGAGACGGCTTTTGGAAGATTTAATAACTTTGTAATAAGAGTCAGAACTGGCCCAAATCGGGTTCCCGGGGGTTTTCGAGGTCGCTGATCACGATTATTATGTTGAAATTGACCCACAGCCGACCTGGAGCTCAGGAATGCCGATGAACGTCATCTCCGTGAGACTCTTCCAAAATTCACGCGGGGAAGGAGAGAAACTCGGCGCCCGTTTTTTTTTTGGGTCGCTGAATTCAAATGTGGCATCGGCGAACACCCCCTGGGCACCTGGTGCGCCGGAACCTGGACGTGGACGTCATCTCCGAGAGTTTTCCTGACAAGATTGCCAAAAACAACCCGAAAATCATTGTGGGGGCGTTTTTTGGGTCGCTGAATCCAAATTAATTTCACCTCGAAAACTTACCCCTGAACACCTGGTGCACCGGAACCTGGACGCAGACCTCATCTCCGAGGGTTTTCCTCACACAATCGAAAAAGACGAACCGAAAATCGTTATGGGGGTTTTTTTAGGGCGCTGAATCCGAATTTCACGTCGAAAACGACCCTCCGAACACCTGGTGCACCGGAACCTGGCCCTGAACGTCATCTCCGTGGGACTCTCCCAAAATTCACGCGGGGAAGGAGAGAACCTCGGCGCCCGTTTTTTTTTTGGGTCGCTGAATTCAAATGTGGCATCGGCGAACACCCCCTGGGCACCTGGTGCGCCGGAACCTGGACGTGGACGTCATCCCCGAGAATTTTCCTGACAAGATTGCCAAAAACAACCCGAAAATCATTGTAGGGGCGTTTTTTGGGGCGCTTAATCCAAATTTCACCTCAAAAACGATACCCCGAACACTTACTGCACCGGAACCTGGGCCTGAACGTTGCCTCCGAGGGTTTTCCAGACACGATCGCTAAAGACAAACCGAAAATCGTTATGGGTTTTTTTTGGGGCGCTGAATCCAAATTTCACCCCGAAAACGTACCTCCGGCAGCTGGTGCACCGGAACCTCGGCCTGAACGTCATTTTCGAGGGTTTTCCTCACACAATCGAAGAAGACGAACACAAAATCTAATCGGGGAAGTTCAGCAGACGTCCGTTTTAGCGAGAATATGGCGTTACAAATACAACAGGATAAATTCTTACAAATTAAAAAGAATAAAAATAAGATTATTGAAATGCTCCGGGCCAAACTGACCACAGTCGGGATAGTTTCAGACCAATGTGCAGCGGATGCTGATCGTACGATTGTAACGACAGCTCTAAAAGAATCCAGGGACGTTACCAAAAAGGTAGTCATAGTCGCCGAAGATACAGACGTTGCCATAATATTGACCGCACTCTGCCCGGTTGATAATGAAATATTTCTACTGAATTTTGGGAGAGTCCCACGGAGATGACGTTCAGGGCCAGGTTCCGGTGCACCAGGTGTTCGGGGGGTCGTTTTCGACGTGAAATTCGGATTCAGCGCCCCAAAAAAGCCCCAAAACGATTTTCGGTTCGTCTTTTTCGATTGTGTGAGGAAAACCCTCGGGGATGAGGTCCGCGTCCAGGTTCCGGTGCACCAGGTGTTCAGGGGGTCGTTTTCGACGTGAAATTTGGATTCAGCGCCCCAAAAAACGCCCCCACAATGATTTTCGGGTTGTTTTTGGCAATCTTGTCAGGAAAACTCTCGGAGATGACGTCCACGTCCAGGTTCTGGTGCACCAAGCGTTTGCCGATGCCATATTTGAATTCAGCGACCCAAAAAAAACCCGAGCGTCGAGTTTCTCTCCTTCCCCGCGTGAATTTTGGGAGAGTCCCACGGAGATGACGTTCAACGGCGTTGAATTTGAACATAATAATCGTGATCAGCGACCTCGAAAACCCCCGGGAACCCGATTTGGGCCAGTTCTGACTCTTATTACAAAGTTATTAAATCTTCCAAAAGCCGTCTCTAAAAATACATTTTTTGAATGCATTTTTGGCTGCAGCAATGCAATTTCCGGTTTGTATAAGATACAAAGTAGATACATTTTTTACAAAAAATTTTTGGAAGCGAATGCAAAAAACCGCATTCCGATCCGTCTTAATGCAAAAAATTACGAACTTTTGGCCTTTTTAGTGCTTCATTGCCTCGACTATAACTGTTGTAAACACTTCCTTATATGGTCATGTTTGGTAAAAAGTAAACTGATAGGACAAAGGAATGCACTGGGTAACGCCCCTGTGAACGGAACAAAACTGAAAGCCCGGGAAGCAACTGGATCATTCAATTGATGAAACAGCCATAGCCGTGTGGCTTTTACTATTATTATGATCATGATTATGATTATGATTATGATTATTATGATTATTATGATTATTATGATTATGATTATTATGATTATGATTATTATGATTATTATGATTATGATTATTATGATTAT